TATGACCACCATATAGCAACTCAAGGATCTTGTATTGCTCAACTGATGTAAAACAGTATAATAAAGAATTACAACTCATCAAGAAACTAGAACCCCCAAAAAAGGAACAAGTGACAAGTTGCCTTTTAAGTGACAGGTAGCACTGAATCTCTATATCCCATGTTTAAATCCAGGAAAGAACACTGCACCAGCTGGTGCTTGGATTTCACAACTCTTGCCTAGTCTAGAACATGAAAAGAAATTAACAAAATCCCACACTGAAGGTGATATGTTAGAAAGAAAAGCCATCATTCATTGGCAATACTGAAGCTATCTCTTCTTTTTACTGCCCTTCCCAGACTTGGAAGGTGTAGCAGTCGAGGTGGATGTGGGTTCCTGTTTCTTAGTCCTCCCGGGGTGTCTCGGAACCAACCCAGCAACATGGACCATCAGCTGTTTCCCTGCAATATAATCTCGATGTTATAACATGGTTCAAAGTCGCGGTATCGGCCATCAACTCGGAGAGTGCTGATACACAACGATCGCGGCGTCGCGGTATGGTATTGGCCGATACGCTCAAAACGCAAGATAGAAGCTCCACAAAATTTTGAAAAAATTATAGAAAATTCTAAAAAAATAGACATTATCATTTATGCATCATATATCCACAATACATCTAAAAAAACATTAAACATAATTAAAATGAAACATAAAATCGCGAGCGAAAATAATTATTATTATCAATGTTCAATGTAGACATTTAGGAACATATTAAGCCATAATCATTACCACATTAAACGACGATGAGGCTCAAAATCGTCGTTATTGTCTCTAGGATAATACAAATTAGGGTACTGTCCACCATAAGAATAAGAGTACAAGTGTGAATACGGGTCTGATTGGGTTGGTTGAGTTGATTGACTAGATGACCCCTAATCAGAGTAGTGTGACTGTGGAGGTTGTACTAGCTGGTTCCCATACTGATAGTACCCAAAATCACGATATTCACGGCCACTACTACCAGAAGACTAACCATATCCATAAAAGTTGACACTATCCGATGTCGTGTTAGAACATCCATAATGATGTCTCCTTGGAACACGATCATAGTAACCACCGGTACTAGTACTAGTAGATCTCTCAAGATGCGTAGGGCGATGGCCATAATGGCCAGCACTATTAGAACTAGTAGACCTCGGAAGCTGCGAAGGGATACCATATCCATATGATCTATGTGCATAGCTAGATTCTATACCACTACTTTGATGATGTCCGTAAGGCATGTATCCTTCATATGATGTCAATCCCAAACTCTGCATATGATCATCAATATCTTGTCGACCAAGTGAATGATGGTGACGTTTATAGAAATAATCATTACCAATAGAAGAGTTTAAATTTCTCTGTTGTTTCATTGCCCTTGGTCTATATCCATGGTCTGTATCCTGTGTGGTATAGTAATTGTCTTGCCCTTGTGCCCATGACATACTGCCAGGTAACTGAGTATCACCACCATCTCCAGTAGTCCTTCTACTACCACTCTTGTTGCTCTCATCATGATTACTAGCATCATCATCATCAGTACTACTACTATCACCATCACCACTACCACCACCATAAGTATCAGCAATATTATCATCATTATCATCATCAGAAGAAGAATCACTAGAACTGACAAAAATTCTCATAGCCTTTTTACCCTTGTTGGTTAGCCTCGTATCTTTTCCAGATCTTCTGGTAGTGGCATAATTGCTAGATGTTAGTGTCGTATTAGTGTCAACTTTATCATCGCGTCCACTTCCACCTTCTTCAATGTCACGAATACCTTCATCCAACCAACCTAAGTTATCAGGTGATAAAATTGATTCCTCCCTTTCTCTTATCCACTCATCTAATATATCCTCATCATTGAAAATGTAGTTCAGATCAATTGGATTATACAAATCATCATTTTCACACTGATATGTCAAATTTCTAACTCGCAACCGTATATTGTAGTGCACAAAAACTAGCTTATATAGCTTTTTCATTGTCAATCGGTTGCGAAGTTTTGTATGGATCAGCGACCATGTACTCCAATTTCTTTCACACCCTGATGATGAACATGTTTGGCTTAAAACTTTGACTACTTCATTCGAGTAATGCCACCATGAACTATTTTACCACAATAGTTGCACTTTGTAATTTATCGATCACCACAAACAGGTGTTGCGTGTTCCCAACCAATGTCGTGTTGTTTAGGAGTCATTCTACAATGTCACAAATTCCAAATAATTAAATAAGTAACATGCAATTGATTGAAATAGTTTAAATATAAAAAAATGTAATTGTAACATTTAATTTTATATAATTTGAAATGGAACATATATATTTTATAGATAATAAAAAAAAAGAACTTATATCCACTCATTTATTATTATAAAATACAATAATTTTAATATTTATGCAATAAATAAGTAATTTAACTATGACAATAATGTAAAAAAGCATGTTCGCCTTGGAGGAGTTGAACCACTGTCCTGCACATGACAATTTGCATCACCACCCAATTGAGCTACTACTTTTATGTTACTTTTAAGGCAAATATAAATATATAAACATTTAGTCAAAAAAAAAAAGGTAGACAGTGTCTTGGGGTTTTGGAGGAGTCGAACCAATGACCTACAACATTACAGTGTGCAAGTCCACCCAATTAAGCTACTACATTTATGTTATGTTAAGACAAATATAAATATATAAACATTTAATAAATAAATAAAAAATACACTACATGTTGGAGTCGAACCAGGGACCTTGCAACAGCTCAATTTGTAATACCACCCAATTGAACTACTATTTTTATGTTACTTTTAAGGCAAATATAAATATATAAACATTCAGTAAAAAAAAAAGGGCAAGGGTCTTAGAGGAGTCGAACCAGTGACCTACAACTTTACAATGTGCAAGTCCACTCAATTGAGCTACTACGTTTATGTTATGTTAAGACAAATATAAATATATAAACACTTAATTAAAAAAAACAGACTGCCTGTTGGAGTCGAACCAGGGACCTTGCAACAGCTCAATTTGCAACACCACCCAATTGCGCTACTATTTTTACGTTACATTTAGGACAAATATAAATATAAAAACACTCAATCCAAAAAAAAAAATCAGACAACTTTTAAAGAGTTTTTTTTTTCCTACCTACTTTTACGTTCTTCGTCTTTCTCACTTCCTAGAGGCTCATGATAACAGAGTGCAGACAGAGAGATGCAGAGTGCAATTCCTCACCGATATAGACCGAAGAAGATCATCTCAACAAATAATCGACGAAGATCCTTTCAACAAAGAATTGAACAAGAATAACAAAGAATTGAAGAAGATCCTTTCAACAAAAAATTGAACAAGAATAACAAAGAATCGAACAAGGTTGTCACACAAGACCAGATGAAGAAGATGTTTCAGGGTTCGATCTACAAGTATGTTAGTAATCTTGGTTTTTTATAGGGATTTGCTGCCTTAGGGTTCATGTGATTTCTACAATTTTCACATGGGTGTCGAGTCTTTCAACGGGTAGTCTGGTAGTAGGTCTGCTTTATTTCCCATCCCCCTTTTTTTTTTTGGATTTTTGTTCATTTTTCAAAAAAATGAAGGAGTGTTAATAAGTTTTTGCAGAGGTGTGGGTTAGATTTGGGAATTTTTCCACTGTCGTGTTCGACTCGGAAAGATTCTGAGTCGAGTCGCCCGAGTTGAACCGAGTTTTCACCGACACCTTTGATTTCGGCCGAGACGTCCAAGATATCGCCGAAATATCGCTGATACAAGTTAAATTCGTCAATCTTTCGATTCGTGTATTGTTATCGTATCGTCAATGGCCGAGTCGTATCCGACTCGGCTGAGTCGTATCGGACTACTTTGAACCCTGTGTTATAAAGCCATGGGGAAAAAGTATAGAATTCACCTATTAGGAAATACAATAACAACCAAAACACTAGGACATGGAAAAGACATGAATGATTAGCATACTTTCGGTAGATGATGTGCTGAGCCAAACATCACATACAATTGGGAATCACATTTTCTTCTAAAAAACCACGACCCACTGAATCTTTCAAAAGTGTGAATCCATTGCTTAGGAATTAGTATGCAGTGCGTGGGAATGTAGCGCTGTCTAGTGGATCCCAACCTAATTATTTTTTATTTATTTGTTTTTTTTGGGAAAAAGGGGGGAGGCGGAGGGGGAGGGAGAGTGGGGACTTGAACCATTGACCTGAAGAAGGCAAAACCTTCATAAAGTGAGAAGTATCATTGGACCAAAGACTCGTTAGTTCCAACCTAGTTATTGATCCATCAATCCCAAGCTAAATGGTTTTATGGTTCAAGTAGGTAGTATGGGTGCAAAACAACAGTCAACAGTAGTTGAGTAGAACAATTCTTCCATGTGCAAAGCTCAAGAAAGACAAGCATCAAAAAGAATCCTGGTTCGTGCATAGGCTGAGGGCAATCTAAGGATGACAAAGGAGAATGAGTTTTATGCACAATGGACCTTAACAAAGGCCCATCTTAGCCAAACAAAGGATGGTTGGTAAAAAATGACACTAAATGGAATCTCCAAGTCTTGAAGAAATGCTCAGAATCATCATGCAGATGAGTATTTCAACAACTGTGATCACATTGAATCTTGAATTTCTGATTTGTCATGCTCAATAAAATACATGAACACCTAGGTGTGATCCTTGCAATTGATCATAGATATTTCTAAAACAAAATTTAGGACTCAAAATACCACCCAGGAGCAAGAACTAAAATAATCACATTAAAAAACTCTCTTATCTTCGTTGTGGCCAGAAATATGAATACATCAGTTAGTAATTGACATAACCGCAGTTAGTTTACCCGTAAATCTAGAATTAGTACATTGCGTTTGAGCCCTATGTGCTAGTTCTCTCCTTCAAAACACACACACACACACACAAAGTAAATCTCATGCAAAGATCATTATAGGGGCACTGCCATGCAAGTACTCAAAAGGCATTGGCAAAGATCAAATATCTCGAGCCGGCTTTTGGAACTCAAAAAAAAAAAAGTAATTCAAACATTATCACCCACCAAATTTCCTCCTTTCAAAGTATATGATAGTAGTTACATTTCCTTAACAACCAAGTTAGGGTGATCTAGTCTCTTAAGAGAACAACACATTCCAACAAAGGAACTGAAAACTAAGAACATAAGAAAAAACCTAAGGAAATGAAGAAGACTGCTTACTAGAAGATATAGCCAGATTGCACATTGCACAGAGTCCCATCTTCCTTTTTCAGCAAAACCCTCACCCTCCCTCTTTGCATAAAATCACGCGGATATGCCTTATCAATCTAACAAAGATCCATAAACACATTATCAAACATGAGAGCAAATTCCCGACCAATAGTCCCCTAAACTGATTGCAATTAACCACATAAAGAAGAATAAAAAATTGGGAAATGAAACATCAATTAATCACTACAAAAAAACGAATAACAATTCAAATAACATTGATAAATCAAACCTCAATAGCAAAAGGGAGTTTGAGGTAGCTACAACAATCACCAATCTCAACGCAAGTAGGGTTTTCACACGCTTTGCTAGAATTTTTCCGCCGACCCTCAACGATCATTTTCTTTGAATTTATGTAAATTGGGTAGAACACAATCCACTTCTTTATATTAGGTATATCCCCATCCATGTTTCCTATCAAATAAAAATGATAGGATTCGAAACCATCACTCAAAACAAAAACCCTCAACTCATCTAAACGAAAGTTTAGATTTACAATAAAACTTTGAAAAAAAAAATAAAAAATCACATAGGCTGAAAAATAAGCAAAATTAAAACAGATCTAATGTGACTGCGGGTGAGAGAATTAGAATGTACCTTGAGTTGAGGAGAGAGAAACCTCAACCAAAAAAAATTCCAAAGAACTTTGTTGTGCACGGACTAGACCAGACAAGTTATATTGTTTCCATATTCCCTGGTTATGGTAGGAGGGACAATGGGCCGAGTTCGTGTTTGTATTGGTCTGGGCCATAGAAGATGATAATAGCATAACTATGAGTAGGGGCCCATACCAATACGGCGACTACAGTCACGTATTTATGGGTTGGGCCCTAACCATCCGCAACAAAGGCTTAGATTGCGTTTGGTAACGTTTTTCGTTTTCATTTAAAAAAAAAAATCAACTTTTATTTTATTTTATTTTTTGCGGTTAAAAGTTAAAATAAGAAGCGTGATGCAATTGTTGTTTTAAGAAATCTAAAAACTAAAACAAAAGACATGTTTGGTAACCAATTTATTTTATGGCATATATTTAACTTTATATTAATTCATGCTAAAGCACAATCACATTTTTATGTCAATACATTCATCAACCCATAAAAAATGCAAAATACATCAAAACATTCAAACTTATAACAGCCTCTCAAATACCAACTAATTACATTAAGCATAAAACCAACTAAAATGTCTACTCTACACCATATGTATGAAATACAATCAATAAGTTCATAGAATAATGAATGATATAACCATTTAACATAAACAAATTGAGCATTCATTCAAATAGAGTATTCTTTTACATGTTCACCAGAATAATGCATATAAAAAGCCTACAAGCATACAACGTCAAATGAAAAGCTTCCAACCCAATAGATAAATAGAAATCTTTTTTTTTTAATTTTTTATTGGGGAGAAGGAGGGGGTGGGGGAAAGAGGGTTTGAACCCTGACCTCAAGAAGACAAAGTCTTCACAAGGTAAGGAATACCATTGGACTAAAGGCCCATTGATAAATAGAAATTAATTTGTGTCTCCTGTCTAGTATGCAATATCCCAAATAAGTCAAATAATCCCAAAGCCTCCCGTATGCAATATCCGAAATTATCATAATAATCCTAATTCTGTTGTTATATGCAATAGACCCACCCACCCAGAAAACTATAGACCCTAATTGAAGGTGGCATTTATTCAAACACCTGCATGTATTTGTTAAGTGTAGAAAGCCATCAACAAATCACATTTACCCACACACACAATACAATAGTGACTTAGCCACAACACAGATGCACACAACCAACACACACACATTGTGAACCAGAAAGACAGACAACACACACACACAGACAAAACAAACACAATACACACACAGAGAGACCCAGCCACACAGACGCACACACAACACTGAACACAAACATCTGAAATGGAGATGAAAAAAATCCCTAAATCCTAAACCCTAGCTCCGAAATTGAAATAAAAAATCTCTAGATCAGAAAATTGAAAAAAAAAAAACCTATATCTAAACTTGAAATACATGGATACATATATGTATAAATCTATACATAAAAAGGTTAGATATATACATAAATAGGTCAAATCTATGCATATGTATACATATATATTGATAAAACTATTGGAGCTTCCTAGCCGTTAGGGTCAGAGTCTCTTGTTTTAGGCTTATTTCTGTTAAGTTGAATAAATCCTCCCTAAACTTGAGGAACAAGATTACTTTCTGTTTAATGTAGTCATGCACCACGATTATAGGACCTGTAAAGTCGTGGGTGGTTATTTTTCCTTTCTATCTTATTGTAAGGCTATTTATTAGCCAGAATAGTTGTTAAGTAAATTAAGCATTCTCCCAGCTTTCGTGCAATCAGACTTTGCAAAGCTCTCTGTTATCTCTCTGATTTTAACATCTGGTATCAGAGCCTCCTCACGAGGTCTGATCAAAACTTGTGACTCAGATATTAGAGTGAAGAACCAGAGACATGGCATCCGAGAATAGCTTCGTGCAACCTGCCATTCCAAGGTTTGATGGTCACTATGACCATTGGAGTATGCTGATGGAGAATTTTCTGCGTTCCAAAGAGTATTGGAACTTAATAGAGACAGGGATCACTGCTGCAGCAGAAGGATCAGATCTTAGTGAGACACAGAGGAAGACCTATGGAGATCAGAAGTTGAAAGATCTCAAGGCCAAGAACTATTTGTTCCAAGCCATTGATCGTTCGATATTGGAGACCATTTTGAAGAAGGATACGACGAAAGATATATGGGATTCTTTGAAGCAAAAGTATCAAGGAACTGCACGTATCAAGCGTGCTCAATTGCAAGCTCTTCGCAAGGAGTTCGAAGTGTTGCATATGAATGTTACAGAGTCGGTTAATGATTATTTTGGCAGAACTCTCACCATAGCTAACAAGATGCGAACGCATGGGGAACAAATGGATGATGTGGTAATCGTTGAAAAGATATTGAGGTCTATGACTTCAAAATATGATTACGTTGTTTGCTCCATTGAGGAATCCAATGACCTGGACAAAATGTCCATAGACGAGCTTCAGAGCAGCCTCTTGGTGCATGAACAGCGAATCAGCCGACATGTGAACGATGAACAAGCACTTCAGATCACTCATGGTTCCCAGCAAGGAAGAAGAGGTGCAGGCAGAGGCACTTACCGAGGACGAGGAAGAGGAAGGGGTAGGTTTGGGTTCGACAAATCTATCGTAGAGTGCTACAATTGTCATGAACTAGGGCACTTTCAATGGGAATATCCTAAGCAAGACAAGGAACAGAAAGCGAATTATGCTGAAACAAAGGAGGAGATGCTATTGATGGCTCTTGTAAATTCCAACGAGACTGCAACGGAGCACATTTGGTTTCTTGACTCTGGGTGTAGTAACCATATGTGTGGAAAAAAAAACATGTTTGTTGATCTTGATAGCAGCTTTCGAGAATCGGTGAAGCTTGGCAATGACTCGAGTATTAGCGTACAAGGCAAGGGTAAAATACGAATGGAGGTAAATGGGTTTGTGCATGTAATCACAGAAGTCTTCTACGTACCAGACCTGAAAAACAACCTGTTGAGCATCGGTCAATTGCAGGAAAAGGGGCTGGCAGTACTTATCCAACATGGAAAATGCAAAATCTTTCACAGTGAGAAAGGTTTAATCATGGAAACAGAGATGACACACAATATAATGTTTTCTGTGCTTGCTCGTTGCGCACCAAAGGAACAGCAATGCTTCTCCTCACTGATCACAGATCAAGCAGACCTTTGGCACTGCCGATATGGACATCTCAGCTGGAATGGGCTCAAAATGCTTCAACAAAAGAACATGGTGGCAGGGTTACCTCAGTTTAAAGCCTCTCAAAAGGTGTGTGAAAACTGCCTGGTGGGAAGACAGCACCGTGATCCATTTCCTAAAGAAAGCATGTGGAGAGCCTCCAACATTCTTCAGTTGGTGCATGCTGACATATGTGGGCCAATCAAACCTATTTCAAATGGCAAAAAACGGTATCTTATCACCTTCATCGATGACTTCAGCAGAAAGACTTGGGTATACTTCTTGGTGGAGAAGTCAGAAGCTTTTTCCACATTCAAATCTTACAAAGCCAGAGTTGAGAAGGAAACTGGAACATACATACGGAGCCTTAGAACAGATCGTGGGGGAGAATTTACATCACAGGATTTTACCAACTTCTGCAATGAGCATGGAATTCATAGACAATTAACGGCTGCCTATACACCCCAACAGAACGGTGTCGCTGAAAGGAAGAACCGTACCATTATGAATATGGTGCGAAGCATGTTGACAGCAAAGCAAATCCCTAAGACCTTTTGGCCTGAAGCAGTGAATTGGACGGTGCATGTTTTAAATCGATGTCCAACTCTTGCTGTGAAGAACAAAACACCTGAAGAAGCGTGGAGTGGGCACAAGCCATCAGTGGACTATTTTCGAGTTTTTGGATGCATTTCTCACGTCCATGTACCTGACAACAAGAGGGTAAAACTTGATGCCAAGAGTTTCAAATGCATACTATTGGGGGTAAGTGAGGAATCCAAGGCTTATAGATTATTTGATCCACTTTCAAATAAAATAATTGTTAGCCGAGATGTAGTATTTGAAGAAGATCAGCAATGGAACTGGGATGATGGTCACAAACAAGCCATATTTGCTGAGCTCGAATGGGAGACTGAAGAAGAAGCAGAAGTGGAAGACGAGGGAGATGGAGAAGAGTCTGAAACCAATGAAGAATCTGGAGAAACTGAACCCGAGTCTGAAGGAGGTAACATTTCAAATGAAGAAAACTCACCTTGTGAAATACGAGCTCGGAGACCACCAGTGTGGATGCAGGACTATGAAACTGGACAAGGCCTTTCAGATGAAGAAACCCATAACCAGGCACATTTAGCCTTGTTCACTGATGGGGATCCCATAACATTCACAGAAGCTGTGAAGTCCGAGAAATGGAGGAAAGCCATGGATCAAGAAATACAAGCTATTGAGAAGAACGACACATGGGAATTAACAGTGCTGCCATCGGGAGGAAAAACCATAGGAGTAAAGTGGATCTTTAAGACAAAATACAACGAAAATGGAGTAGTGGACAGGTATAAGGCTCGGCTAGTTGCCAAGGGGTATTGTCAGCAACATGGAATTGATTACGCTGAAGTATTCGCACCGGTGGCTCGTTTGGACACTATACGAATTGTTATATCCCTCGCTGCACAGAAAGCTTGGGTGATCTACCAACTTGATGTCAAGTCGGCTTTTCTGCATGGGGAAATTACTGAGGAAGTCTTCATTGAGCAGCCTCCAGGATATGAACAGAAGGGGCATGAATCTAAGGTTTATCGACTAAAAAAAGCATTGTATGGACTCAAACAGGCTCCCCGAGCCTGGTATAGTCGCATTGAGGCATATTTCATCAAAGAAGGCTTCACCAAATGCCCTTATGAGCATACTTTATTCATTAAAACTGCAGCTGGAGGTAAAATTTTAATTGTGTGCCTTTACGTTGATGACCTTATTTTTACTGGCAATGATGAAGTGATGTTCGAACAATTTAAGAAGTCCATGAAGATTGAGTTCGACATGACTGATCTTGGAAGAATGAGATATTTCCTTGGCATTGAAGTATTACAAAAGGCAGATGGTATCTTCATCACTTAACGGAAGTATGCTCAAGAGGTCCTGGAAAGGTTCAATATGGGTCAGTGTAACCCGGTACATAATCCAGTGGTTCCTGGCTTCAAGCTCACGAAAGATGAAGGGGGAGTGGAAGTTGATAGTACTGTTTACAAGCAAATGGTGGGAAGTCTTATGTATTTGACTGCCACACGCCCCGATTTGATGTTTATTGTTAGTTTGATCAGTAGGTACATGGAGCATCCTACTGAGTCTCACTTACTGGCAGCAAAAAGAGCTTTGAGGTATATAAAAGGAACGGTTAGTTTTGGGGTGTTCTACAAGAAGGAAGGAAGTGAAGAACTCGTAGGGTACACGGACAGTGACTATGCTGGCGATCAGGATGATAGGAAAAGTACCTCAGGCTATGTTTTTCTAATGAGCTCGGGAGCTGTCTCTTGGTCTTCAAAGAAACAACCAGTGGTTACTCTCTCCACCACCGAAGCTGAGTTCATAGCTGCTACATCAAGTGCATGCCAGGTCGTATGGTTAAGAAGAATTCTGGAAGTTCTAAATCAAGAGCAAAGCAGTCCAACGGTGGTGTTTTGTGATAATATTTCAGCGATTAAACTCTCAAAGAATCCTGTGATGCATGGTCGGAGTAAGCACATAGATGTAAGATTCCATTTCCTTCGAGATCTTGTCAGGGATGGCATTTTGGAGCTAATTCATTGTTCTACACAACAACAAGTTGCAGATGTTCTAACAAAGCCGTTAAAGCTTGATGTTTTTCTGAGGATGTGAGGCTTACTGGGTGTATGTGAATATCCAGGTATAAACTGAATGACAATGGCATTCAGTTTAAGGGAGGATGATAAAACTATTGGAGCTTCCTAGCCGTTAGGGTCAGAGTCTCTTGTTTTAGGCTTATTTCTGTTAAGTTGAATAAGTCCTCCCTAAACTTGAGGAACAAGATTACTTTCTGTTTAATGTAGTCATGCACCACGATTATAGGACCTGTAAAGTCGTGGGTGGTTATTTTTCCTTTCTATCTTATTGTAAGGCTATTTATTAGCCAGAATAGTTGTTAAGTAAATTAAGCATTCTCCCAGCTTTCGTGCAATCAGACATTGCAAAGCTCTCTGTTATCTCTCTAATTTTAACATATATGTGTATAGATCTTCAAAAATGAAAATAAATATTACCTTTTTGAAGTTAGAGAGAAACGCCAGAGAACAAAGGAGCGTTGGAGAGGAGACCAACCTACTCCAGCTGGAGATGGTCTTTGCTTAAACAGGCGAGAGATAACAGAACAATAGCTTCACTTCAGACGACGAGAGAGAGAAACGAGAGGATGAGAATGAGAAATTTTCGTAGTTTATATACTCAGGCAAATATTCTCTTAAATTGCTTCTAATAAGGTTCGATGGCAAGACCTCATTTAACCCTTCCCCCTTCCAGCGCGTGTTTTCGTTTTTCCCTGTTTTTGAATGCACCTCTCTCTATTCATGTTTTAAATATTTGGGGTTATTTACAAAACGAATTGGCCAAAAAAAAAAATTTAAAAATACACTCTGAACACATTTTTATTTTTATTTTCAGGAAAAAGTAAAAACAAAAATAGAAAAAAACACAAACATTGTGTTACCAAATACAACCTAAATTAACTCTAGCTATCCTCTGAATACACGAAGAGACCACCAAATTTAAGAGTTGTGATAAATTTACTTATTTTAATGTGTGTCTATACATATCTACCTAGTTTTTTTTCTTTTTGGAGGGAGGGAGGGAGGGGAGGGGAATTGATCTATTGACCTTAAAAAGACAAAATTTTTATAAAATAAAGAGTATCATTGAACCAAAAATCTTTTGGTGAAAATAAACAACCACTAACTAGTAATTGATGTTCATCTAGCTAAATCATCTAAAAAAAGTTTCTACAAAATAAACAAATAAGTCAAAAACTTCAAAGTCAACCACCCTAAAACAATCATTATAAATTTGGAAACCTTACTGTGAGACAACTACATAAATGAGATTTTGATACCTGATAACATTGAAGATAATTGATTAGTGACTGCTTCAAACCAGAAATATATTTCAAAGAAAATGCGTATCTTAAATATGTTCTGGGAGCCAACTTTGTACTCAGAGTTCCCCAAGTGCATTGGCAAGCCCAGAGTAACTCTAATTTTGTAGAATAAACCTCTAACATGGCATGATACTTCGAGGTTCATCGTTCACTCGTAAAATATATATCTTTTATTTTTTTCAAAAATATAATGTTTTAGAAACCACTGTGTCAGTGTTTTGGCACAAACTACTGAAACAATCCCCAATAGTGACTAATAGACACCCATAGTTTTAAGTTATATATATATATATATATAGTTTTAAGTTAGGACCCTGTAAGCTCAACATATTAAAGCTTACTAAATGTAACAAATATAAAAGGTTTTAAAAGTACAAAGGCAAGGAGATTGTAACAAATATAAATTTTTTTACTACTATGTAGATCATTTGGATGGAAAGAAACACAAGGATTTTTGAGGATAAAGGCGAGGAGTTTGAAGGGATATGAGAAAGATTGTATTCTTTGGCTTCTTTTTCGGCCTCTATGACTAAAAAGTTTGAGAATATTCCTCTCTTTTGTATTACTGCTAGCTAGAAAGGTTCATGTAGATTATAGCTTGCTTTTCTCGACGTTTCTATTAATCGATCATTATGTTGGACGACCTATCCACCTTTGATTAGGTTATCACCTTTGTATTGCCTTTTTGGCCTTTTTTATCAATAAAGTCTTGTTTCTTATCAACAAAAGAAAGTAAAAAAAGATAATTGTTTTCGGAAGACTCCTGATTACATGTCTTACATATAAGTAATTATCAGGGTCAGGCCTATTCCCAGCAATTTATGTTACTAGTATACTGCACTTAGTGGAGCATATCAACAAATTACTGGCCATGTAAAGGCAACTGCCGTCCCAGGGTAAGAGGTGGCGTAAAGGCTTGTTTGACAGTACTTTCTTACTTAATTTGATATTGTCAAACTGGAGCTTCTAACCTTTGAGTCATTTTCTTTCCAGCAAGAAGCATTGTCTCAAGGTTCTCCCACACATCCAAGTCAATACACTTACAGATGGAAAGATCAGTAGTACCATATAAAAAGGCCAAACCAGAGAATAAAGGAAAGCACAAGAAAAACCTCTATTATGATGTATTGCTTACAAAAAAAAAAGGCAGAGGGATGAAGAAGCTACATCTTGATTAGCTATGGAAAATTCAGAATGCTTCTCTCATGGACACAAGGGTTAAAAGTGAAAAACCATTCACAATTTGCTATATCAACGTCTTCACTTACATTTATATGCCAAGATTCGGTAAGTTTGATAGCAGAGAAAATATAAACCACACATAAAAGGGGAAAATAAATCAAAAAGGCCAAAATTATAGGAATTTTAGAGCTCCAACAATGCTTGTCATAGCACGTGGCAGGTGACTTACCATCTCGCAAGGGCTTCTTTGCAGGGACTCTTTTACTAAATTTGATTTTGTTGGTCCCATAGCTTCTAAAGTTTGAATCCACATGTTTTAACGGAGAGGCATTCTTCTAAGACTCTCCTAAAACATCCGAGTCAAAACATTCACAGAAGGTAAGTTCAGGAGCCTATGAAAGGAACAAATAAGATGATACGAGAACAAAAGAAGCACCCACAAACTTAAACACATACCTTGATGATGTAACAAAGATATTGGAGAAGCCACTCAGCAATTTTTACAGAAAATGAGAATAGATGACAGCAAAAAAATGCCTCTTAGAGCAGAACTTTGCCTTTATGACTCCTCCGTGGCTCACCAACCTCCACCAAGTAATTTGAAAGTTTTAATGCACTTCCAGTAGTCACATCTTCTGATAACTTGAGGAATTTATGGCTCAAAACGGTCCCATCTTCAGTCAATAGAGTAACCTGATAGTTATAGAATCAGCCGATACAACAGAAAAGTGACAAAGTCACAAAACTGGAAGAACTTCACAGCAGGAGCTGAAATTTAACTGCAATAAAAAGTATGGAGGTTGCAGGGAGCATTCAAAAAGAACATGATCTGTAATCCCATTTCATTGTTTGTAAAAATATTTATGAACTTTAGAACTTTCAGGAACAGATATGCTTGCTGGTGATTAGAAAATCAGTCTCTCACCTTTATGTCAATTCCCTGCAGTTTTAGTGGAGTTACTCCATGTAAATCATGAATTGCTTGATAGTGTTGCTGAGTTATTAACCAGACATCTTACTAAGTCCTTTCCTGTTAACACGGTATATATGGAAAGGAGGGGATTCCAGCATAAAATCTCCAGGATACAAAGGCCAAGTGACAAATCCACGTACCGAGGAATATACCACAAATGTAGTTCTACATCACATTCCAAGCACTTATCAAACTCAAAAGGCTGGTGGAAAAAGTTTCATACTAAGGGCAGGTATATAGATATATTAGAATTGATATAACTGTAATAAATGCCAAAGATCAGGCATCTATTATGTATGGAAAAATACAGTGGAGGCCTCTTCCCAAATACTAAGAAGCCAGAATGAACTTGCAAAAGAGCCAACTTAAAACCTAAATGAAATAGCTTCTCCAAGAAAGGTAATATATCAATTTTGCTACTTGAAACTGACAGAGAGCCTCTGATTTAGGCACTTGACGAAAGACCTAAATGTTTTATCAAGTTTTTGGGAACTTATAACTTGGAAGCAATAGTGTTTCATAGCATATACAATTCATATGAATTTGTTGGTACTACTATGTACTAATTACACCAGACTGTAGAGTCATTCAGAAGCAACCAGCTTAACAATAGCAGGTGCAACAAATAAATTATAGATATAAGCTCTTCAAAGCATGCCTCTACTATTCACAAATGAAGTTCATGGTATTTGGTGCTGGCATTCTAAAAAACTTCAAATAAATCAACTGAGTCATTACCAGATTACGCACAAACATGACTGACATAATCATTTAAGCAGGGAGCAGAATGAACATAAAAACTGACCTGCTTTTGGTAGGAACCACAAAGTGAAAGTCCAAGGATACCGTCATGGTACTACTTGTTTTTCTGAGTTATATGGCCAGAGTACATAGCCTCCCACTCTGCATTGTAGAAGGGGTGAAAAAGTTAACAGGGGGATAAGTCTCAGAAGATGACTGAACGACATCTTTATAAGCTCTATAAAGAAAGGTAATACCAATGTCTCCTCTATGTTTTCTTGTTTGGGCTACACTTAAAAGAACTGGAAGTTGGAACTATCTTAGACTCAGATAGAGAACACAAATTGTGCTTGAAGTTCATGCATGTTAGGGAAACAAAGAGCTAAGAGTGTTCCATGCAAGTTCCAACCAACTTGGAATGTGGACTCTAATCTAAAACCAGATCATATTCTTCCACACAATTTTTAATTTTTTTCTATAGAAAAGGTGCATTATTATGTTTCTTGTGTGAGTCAACAATACTAGTTCGTAACTGGAATTGCTATACAAATTATATGAAATGATGGCACCATCTTCGGAATAGTTACTGCGTAAACCAAAAGAAGGCATATGCCCATGCAAGACGTAAGGAAGAGAGAGCATTTGACACAAACTTAAGACAATACTGATCAGTCCCAAATAATAACTTCAGATAGAAACATACCAACAGGAGAGCCATTGTGGGTCTCGACTTCTTGTTCGTGCGGTGTTCCTCTATTGCCAACTACCTTGAAGTTTTTTTTCTGGAGCTTTCAAGTCCATTGGAGATTTATGGTCACATTCAATCTCTCCAATGTCCACCAAGTGAGCATCAAATGCTAATGATTCACCAGATATGATTATTTCATCCATTTTCAGAAATCCGCTATCTAAGAGCGTCCTGGTTGCATCGTACAGCATGATCTGAACAGTAATACAGAAAAAGGAATTTGAGGATCAATGTGTTTTTTTATTAAGTATTAATGATCACAACAACAGTAAGAAATGAGTCAACAAAAAAAATGTTCAAACTTCACTAGGTAATAACATCTCTACTGACTAGGTTGGCAGAGGAAAAAAAATGTGTTCATTGCATGCAACAATCACCATAATGCCATTGGTGGTACTGAAGGGCCCGACAACGTGGCTACCAACAACCCATGCAAACATGTCATACCTGATAATCCCCTGAAACATTCTCCTTGAAAGTTCTAAATTTTATGGAAAATAACTCAAGTGCCCAAAACTAGCTCCAAAGGTTTAGCAGTTCGCTATAGACCTCCAAAAAAAAAAATAAGGACAGAAAGTAATAGGGGGCAGGGGGGTCTGTAATGCCCGGAATCAAGAATAGTCTAAAAAGTGGTCAATAACCTTTACTTTTATAACCACTTTCCTCTTTTACCTAAATTAATCTCTCTAATTTATGAAGTCCAAATACACCTTCTTATTGTGAAAACAGGAATGGCCATCTCACTACATAAGATGTTTTGATTTACAAGTACCCTAAATTTTACCTGTTCCAAAATTTAAAAATTAATGTCAAATTGTATGTCTCTTCTCATGTTCTCTGCTTCCTAACCACTACTTATGCCAACAGTGTCCCCAATTCTCTCTCTCTCTCTCTCTCACACACACACACACATCCCAACTTTCGCTCTCTTGGTGAAATTTCAAAAAAGAGTAATATCAATAAACATTAAATTTAAAGGACAAATAGAATTTGTGGAAATCAACCTGCCTCCCTGACGATCCACAACTTGCAAGCCTTAGGACACCATCGCGAAACTTCTTGGCCTTCTGAGTTATTTGCTTTGTGTACAAGACCTGCCATTCTAAAGTGGAAATGATAAATGTTAAATGTTAACCGTGAAAGGAAAAGAAAATTGCAGTAAAAACTGAAATATATCCCAAGGAAAACATGGAAGTCAGGCTTGTGAGAAATCAGAATGGTTTGATGTTTTGTTGAACAATTGAGTGGAACAAACCATAAACTAAATGATTACTAGTTTACTACCCCCAACCATTTTTTTTTTTTTTGGGGGGGGGGGGGGGGGGGGGGGGGGAACAAAATGAAATAAAAGAATAGAAAAGCAAAGAAAAAGTGGGAATTTAAGATAAATTTAGATTTTGAACGCAAAACTGCATTCTGAAACTAACCTATTATGCTAGTTTTTGTCGTATCAGGACAGCTTGGTGGTGCACCATACTTGACCCGTTCACTCTTCTTGAACTCTATAGTTTTCAAAATAATACCATTATCCTTGTCAATAAGATCATTGAGAGAACTTGCCGGCAGTAAAAAGAGTTATGCACTAGAACTAAGACTTCCTTGAGAGAGACAGTAACATGAAAACAAACAATTCTACCACAAATTAAGAGGAATAAGCTCTGTATGGGCACACTGATAAGACTCACATACAGAACACACTTAGGAAACATATTTATAAAATGCTGGATTTCCTATTTCAAGCTTATAAAATGTATAATATAATCTCCCCATACCACCTCACACTCGGGAATAAACAGATAATACTGCAAACTTGTTTCACTTTGCAAATGAAGATGAAGAGATGATGAATATGATCAAAATAACCTCTGATAATTTTTTGTGATGGACTCAGATTACTTGATGGTGCTTTATTCTTCCCTGAATTAGCATTCTTATTTTCAGAAAAGAAAAGAACCATTGGAACTAAGAAATAAAAAGGAAATAATTAAGCAACTCGAAAAGGAAAAAATAAAAGAAAAATTATGTGATACCAAAAAAAATTGGATTATTCCTGAACTTTTAGCCATGTAAATTTCCAGATTTCTCAGTAACCTTTTTATCTCTTCCTTGGAAATTCAAATTAGGTATAGATTTGTGATCTCCATGAGGATCCCCAATGTCAACTACATAAGCATCGAATTCAAGTGTTTCACCGGATCTGATGACATCCTCTTTCTTCACAAACCTGCTTTCTAAATAGTTTTTCACAATCATCATGTAGCAGGACCTGCGTAAAGAATTCGAAAAAAGTATTATGAAAAAAACCACAGAAAACTACCACGGCATACAATATTAAATATCAAATGTGATATTTTCTGTATGATTGAACTTTACAAAATTTAGTTCAAAAAATATATATATTCAAAACCAATCAACTCCAAGCATAGAAGAATACAAACGAAAAACAAAAAGGAGAAATGAAAACACAATAATAATGTAAGGGTAAAAAATTGAGGATACCTCCTATAAGAATATAAGAATTAAGATTCAACGTTTTTGATAAGAGTGAGTTTTGAACTTGATCTCCCAATCTTTGTTTCCTGCAAAACAAATAAATTGCTAAAGATTGAAATACTTCGATCGAAAACATTCCGATGTTTAAGTCAGTAATGGAACTGAGACAATTGGAAGAAGACAAGGAAAGTTCAGTCTACCTTTCACCTTAGTTTCTTTTGCTTTTTATAGATAATTATCCCATTAGCGTTTCTGTGATTTTTGATTCAATGTGGCACACCTTCCTTCAATTCTGCAATTCAGTTTGGGATGTTGCTGATATTTCTCCAACAATTCCTCCTGACATTTGTAATTCCGTTGATTCGTTCATTCAAAATGCTTAAGTTATAGGCAAGTCTTTATCTTTTCACGTACTATTGCACACAGCTCGGTCATTACAAGTACCGAACTCCTTCTTTGTTTGTCGAGCACATCAATCAGCTCGGTCTGGTAAGAGCTGAACTCTTGGTAGGAGTCGGACGCTTTAATCAGCTCGGTCATAATGAGAACCGAACTCTTTTTTTCTTTGCCGAACCTTTTGATTAGTACGACTCGATTTATAAGGCTGAGTGAATGATTTCCTCGTCATGTGACTTGTCTGGTCAACCTCACGTGAGCTCATTTAATGCTATAACACGTGTAATAATGGGAACCAACCCACTTCATTTGCCCCTAGAAAAAGTCTGACAGAAGCTTTTCGTCTATCAGCCGTTTTATGCCTTTTCATCATCATTGCGCGTACATCCCTTTTTTGTTTTGGTGGTATGCATTGTATTTAAATAACCTCTGGGAATTTTTCTTCTTTATAAACGTTCTCTCTCCATCTTTTTTTTCACTTTGCTTTCCTGCTCACAGACTCATCTTTTCCACTACATTTTCTCTCATTTTACATTTCATCCTTTTCAATGGCTCCTCTACTATCTTCTAAGATTCTAGTTTTCAAAGCAAAATATAACATTCCAGACGACGTCGAGGTACAGGTTGCTAGAAAAGATGAGCCATTGATAGGCACGAGGGAGAGGATTCCCATCCCAACTTGAGCCATTATAGAGGGTGGTGTTCGATTCCCTCTCAATCCTTTCCTTTTGTGGGTTCTTTCTGCCACTAAACTTTGCCCCCTGCAATGTTGTCCCAATTTTTTCAGGACTGTGATGGGAGTTGCTGCCTTAAACAGGTTGCTAAACCTAAGTCTAGGCCTCTGGGAAATCTTGTATTGCTATATCATCAAGCCAGCCGGTGATAACTACTACCTTGAAGTTAGGAAGAAGAAAAGGTATTTTTTAAACCATTTGCCAGACTCGAATAAGGGTCATGAGAACGACGTGGTCTTCATTTCTGGCAATTGGGAATACGCTGTTGACGCTACACCTTCCTACCGCTGTCCTTATGAAGAAGGTGCTCCAGGTATTTGAATCTTTTACTCTTCTAATTTGACTTTTGCTTGCATTTTTTTTTTTTTTTTGTATTTTTTGACCTAAGCCATCTTTTGTGTGTAGGCGAGACTGTCAAAGGCAAGATTCCTGACTCCTCGGTAAAAATGGATGAACTGCAAAAGGTTTAGGATTTCAATGAGACCTGTTCTACCAAGTTACCTATACACTGCTAGGTTACACACCTTCTTATAAATGCCCCGAGCAAGGAAGAAGTCTTTCCTTGCAGCTTCTGGACACAGGACAATGAGAAATTTCTTGGACTTTTTGTCGACGGTTGAGCCGACCCCACCCATTGGTCTGATTCCAACAACTTCTAGACCTCCGATCAATGTTCTCAAAGAGCAAACTGTTGAAGCCCTTCCCGAGGTGATTCTTCCTGAAGCCAATGATGCAGGTCTGCCCCTAGGTGACCCAGCTGGTTTGGCTCCAACCGCTGAAACTTTTGTTCCAATTAAGATAGATCCTCCAGAATTTGTCCATTCCCCTTTTCAAGAAGATGATTCAATCTTTGAGCTTGCTGAAGACCTTGCCCCTAACAGGCGAAGGGTTGCCGAGTTCGAGGCGAGCCTTTCTCCCAAACTAGTCACTCTTCTTTCCCGTCCTGTCCTTAGGGCAAAAAGGAGAGAGATTACTGCAAAGGACTCGGCCATTGAAGATTTTAATGTAGTAATGGGGATTGCTAGGGGAGTCATCTTGCCCCGGGACCTGGCAATGAATGAGACTCTTACCAATGACGAAATGTCTTGTCAGGCCATTCAACACATGGTCCTGGTGAGATTTGTTCTTTTGAAATTTCCTTCTTCAAGATTTTTCTTAAGAATTTTTCTAAGTCAATTCTCTTCTTTTTCAACTAAGGGTCTGCAAAAAGTTCATGAGGTCGGGGCTAGGATAGCTAGAAAAGATAAGGTTATGAAGAATGCTATCCATGCCCGAGCTTCAGCCCTGGCAAAAAAGAGAGTGTGGATGAGGAGTATGCCAAACTCTATGAAGAAGTGAAGGTTTTGCAGGCTCAAAACCAAAGCCTGACTGAGGAGAACCAAAAGCTTTCTTCAGAGGTTGAAAAGTTGAAGGAGTCCAAACATGAGACCAACGTTGAGCTTCACAATCCTAACTCGACTATTCCACCCTCCCTAAGGAATTTGATCAGTATAAGTCTGAAGTAAAAGAGAAAGAAGACGCCGCTTATGATGAAGGAGTCGAGAAAGCGAAAAATGACCTTGCCCTTCAGATTCCTTAGCTCCAAGAAACGTACTTTAGTCAGGGCTGGCATGCTGCCCTAACTGCTGCAGGGGTTCTAGCTTCTTTTGAGCTCTTTTCGAGGCATTCCCTTAAGAGATCTTCCTTTTTGCAACTTCTGATGTAATCGTTTAATGACCTCTGTAATTTCTTTTTTTTGAAGTATGAATGCAAAACACATTTTGACCTTTCTATTTCTGTAATTTACTATATGCCTAAAAAAAAAATTAACTTTCAAAGTATAAATCCTTCTACTAGGCCCTTCTTTAGAGAGCTCGATGCCTCAACAAAGACCTTTTACACTTAAAAAATTTCGATAACTCTTGAAGTTATGACCCCACTCGGCCTTTCTTCTGAGAGATTTATCCCTCAACAGGGACCTTTTACACTTAGAAAACTTTTGATAACTCTTGAAGTTATGGCCCTACTTGGCTCTTCTTCATAGAGCTTGGTCCCTCAACAGTGACCTTTTACACAATTTTTTTTTGATTTTGATAACTCCTAAAGTTATGGCCCTGCTCGACCCTTCTTCAAAGAGCTCAATCCCGTAATAGAGATGTTTAACACTTAGAAAAGTTTTAAACACTCTTGAAGTTATGGCCCTGCTCGGCCCTTCTTCAAAGAGCTCGGTCCCTCAATAGGGACCTTTTATACTTAGAAAAATTTTGATAACTCTTGAAGTTATGGCCCTGCTCAGCCCTACTTCAAAGAGCTTGGTCCCTCAACAGGGACCTTTTACACTTAGAAAAATTTTGATAACTCTTGAAGCCTTGCTCAACCCTTCTTCAAAGAGCTCGGTCCCTCAACAGGGACCTTTTACACTTAGAAAAATTTTGATAACTCTTGAAGTTATGGCCCTACTCAGCCCTTCTTCAAAGAGCTCGGTCCCTCATCAGGGACCTTTTACACTTAGAAAATTTTTGATAACTCTTGAAGTTATGGCCCTGCTTGGCCCTTCTTTAAAGAGCTCGGTCTTCCAATAGAGTTACTCTTAGTCCCCTTAAAGATCTAAAAGAGTTTTTACTCTGCATCGATTCGCCAATCTAATTGGACTCGAATCCATCCTTGATCAGCTTACATCGTTATGCCTAGATGAAGGCCTGAATTAGATCAGGTGGCTGCGCCTGATTTAAGTTTACAACTTCTATCAGTATTTTTTGACTCTCTGCCTTAACAGTAGGACAAGTAGGGAAATGTTTTTATTAAACTCTTCAGTTTGGTACATTTGGTAATCACCTATCAACTCTTAAGGGGCACCCTTAAGTTTCCGAAGGTACTTCGGAGCCTTATCTAAAAACGTACTTTTTAGAAATAGAACTTTCTAAGGTTAGCGGTGTTCCAAGGGCATGGCACTGCCTTTTGGTCCAGGGTCTCCAGCTCGCAATACCTGCTACCCCCTATTTGGGGCTATTCTGTATGGACCTTCCCAGTTTGCTCAAAGATTTCCATGAGTTAGGTTTTTAGTCGATCCCAGTACTCGTATGAGGACTAGGTCTTCAAGGGTGAAAGACCGAGGGTTCACTTTCTTGTTATAAGCTTGAGTCATTTGATGCCGGTAAGAGGCCATTCTTATAGCTGCTTGTTCTCTTTTTTCCTCTACAAGATCGAGATCTTGGTGATAACGGCATCGTTACTGTTACTTTCAACCAGCTCAATTCTCAGGGTCGGTAAGTCGATCTCTAATGGAATTACAGCTTCCATCCCGTAAGCGAGGGCGAAGGGGGTTTCTTGAGTTGACCGCCAAGGTGTGGTTCGGTACGTCCACAGAACACTTGGTAACTCGTCTACCCATTTCCCTTTAGCATTCTCTAATCTCTTCTTGATTCCATCCAAAATCATTTTATTGGAGATTTTTGCTTGCCCATTGCTCTGAGGGTAAGCTGGTGTGGAGTAGTGGTTTCGAATTCCATACTACTGACAGAAAGCTTTAAATGGACCACTATCGAGTACCATTTTCCGAAACCAAAGAGTGCGGAATACCAAATCTGGTGATGATGTTCCTCCAAACGAACTACCTTGTATCCATATGTCTAATGTTGGCTAAGGGCTCGGCTT